TACTAACACAAATAGCTACTGTACCAAAATCAACTAGGATGAACGTCATAATCATCCATAACAACTATCGTGAGACATACTAAATTAACTAAAATCGCGGGTTACGTGAATATACTGAGGAAAGCTCTACTAGTTTCGAACCACAGAGGGGTTCTTCCTCGTGAGCAGCGTGCGCTGTCGCGGCGACGTCGCGCAGCTCACTGATCTGTATATTCACGTGAGTAACCCACGATTTTAGTTAATCATCATAATCATCACCATTTGCGATCACTAGACACATTTCTGGATACTATAACTAAATTCGGAAGAGCCGTTTGAGCACTTTTGATTCTGGGGATCAAACCAAATCCTCCTCATTCTAAATCACACGACAAAGTAACCATAAAAAAGCAACTCCCATTTGTTTCAAAGCCCTCGATTACGAGAAAAGAAGCGAAGAAAATTACGAAAATCTATTTTTAATGCCGGCTTAGTTGGCAAGTTATTCAGGCCAATATTTGAAGCACAAGCTCAGTGGAACGAACAAATTGATTGCGTGATGAATGACCCGGGTTCGACGCCTGAGGATTAATGGTACGAACTAATAGCATTGGGCTTAGATCGGATGAATCAGGATTTTCTTTTTATAAATCTTTCTGCCGCTGATTGTTTGGTCCTTGCCTTACTTTACTTTTTGGGGTTATGGACTTATCATCGTCGATTGGATCACTAGATCAAGTTAGACAGTTAAGTCAGCGAGGTCGCAGTCACGATCTTATGGTCAAGTAAAAAATATAGATGTTTTTTTTAACATGGACTCTCTTATTTTACCACTGATTCTAACCTTGCAATGTGAAAATCGTTTTTCTACAGTGCAGTACAGTTTTACAAAACAAACAAAAAAACATGCCAATGTCATGGACACTTTCGCTATATGTGAACCTCCAAAAAATCTTTCATTGCTCTCCATTCTTAAATCTACACACTATACTCCAAGCAAGCTAGGTAGTAGATACACACTACACAATTGACCGGATTTCACTCCTCGCACTCGCCTTAATAAACCTCCCAACTTGACAAAGACTTGTTGAGTTTGAAGGCAACAGAGCATTTTATTCAACACTTTATTCACTCAACTCAACGTTGCTTTTCTAGATTTTCACAAAGATTGAGAACTTTCAAAACAATTCTGGAATTTTAAACTTCATTGTAAAGTGATAAGGATGAAACTCTATTCAAGAAAGTTGAGTAGCTTGAGGTGCTGGTGGCAAAAGTATGTCTAAAGAAAATAAAAGAGAACATTCTCTGTACATTTCTGATACAATTTAATACATTATTCCTTGGAAATTGCCCGGAAACCAGACTCTTGGAACATGATTTTAAACTTTAAATTGCACACAATTTTCTCACACCCAAAATATCGACTATTCGCTTGGAAATATAACACAAACCATATATTTTCCTGATTGAAACTGTACCAGATTCTAAACTGTTCACAATATCTTCATTAGGGCGAAATATAGGAAAAGCTATATGAAGGGAGGAGCCGTTTGATGACTTTCCTTACTCCCCTCAAAAAAAAAGTACAGAAATATCTGTCGTCTACCTAATCAAGAACTCTTAAAAAGAACGATCTTTTTACATGTAAGCCAGTATAAAATATTTGTATAGAATTTTTTGTTACTAAAAGTGTATTAATTAATCAACTACTTACTTTATTATATTTTCCTCTAGAAAAAAAAGATTGCTATCTATCCTAATAAATAGAGATACAAAAATACGAAAATTCTCGTTCGTAAATTCGCAAAAACTTTGGATAATGAATTGGGGGAAAAATCCGTCGAAATTCATTGTTTTCCTTCGTCTCATCTTTCACAATAGAAACCATACTAAATGAAAAACAAATTGAGATCACTTTTTTCAGGATTACCCTGAAGGAACGTACCTATCCGTCTTTCAGCCGTAATTGGCCAGTAGAGATTGGTAAATCTACCATCTAATAAAGTAAAATACCAACATTTCCTCCTTTCCACGTTTTTCCAATTATTTCGGATTTTTAGGATCATTCTTGAGTTGTGAGTGAGTCTGAGTTGATCATTATTGAGTTAAACCAGTTGTGGTCTGTATCTTCAGTTCGATTCTATTGCTTGAATTTGTTGTTACATAAAATTGTTGAAGGCAAATCCTCTGCCAACGTAGGTGACCGCGCGGTGTCAGATCAATTATAATCTGAATTTTAATACTATCTTAAGGTAACTAATAAGAATATTCAGCAATCATTTTTACAACTACCTATCAATACCTAACTACCGCCTTAATAAATTGATTATATTATTTTTAATTCGGGTTCGATTCCCGGGTTGGGCAAAGTATTACTGGGTTTTAAAAAAATCTCAGTAGTAGCACGGAGTCTGGAATTGTGCCCGGTGATAGGCTCACCCCCTGTTACATGGGACTCACAACATAAATAGTGAAAAGTGGGTATTACAATTGTACAGTGGCATAATGTGCACCTCTGCCTACCTCTTCGGGGATAAAAGGCGTGATGTTATGTTATGTATATTATATTAATTGGTAATTGGGCCTCCGATAACCTCACTCACACAACAAAACACAACGCAAGCGTTGCTTCACGTCAGTTTTCTGTGAGGCCGTGGTATCGCTCCGGTCGAGCCAGCCCATTCGTGCCGAATCATAGCTCTCCTACACTTATATTACTCTATCAAATAGTGACATTATTTCCCATAAGAAACACTTAAGATTGACTCCAACTTATTGATACATTACAAAACAATAGCCTGGCCTTGACAAATAACCCCTTTTATTTCCTATAACGCAATATTTTGGTACTAAGCAAACAACATCCCACAACAAACATTTTACGATGATTGGCGGGAAATGTATCGGAGTGTGGGCACTATTAGCATTGTGTGAAGAGCTATATTAGCTTGGCTGGGTGGGCAAATATATCGTGTTTCTAATATAATATTATTGTACACCCCCATTGATACTTTGTTATTGTTTCTCTTGCTTACGACGTAAGTTATGGAAGGACGAACGGAGTATGTTACAGGAACGAAGGCTGAGAACGCCGCCGTAAAAACTATTCACCTATAGAAAATTACATGACATTCAAATTAGATGTATTTTCTACAGCTTCACTATTTGATATAATTAAGTATCTAGATAACATGAAAACTTGTAATAAAGATCAACAATTTTACGTCACACCTACATAACTTTTTAAAGTAATTACATTATAGGATCGACTGCCTCGTTGTCCGAGTGGAGTTGGTCTCGGGTTCGATTTCCGGGTCGGACATAGTTATTACTAGGTTTTTTTTAAATCTCAGTAGTAGCACGGAGTCTAGAATTGTGCCCGGTATATGGCAATATGCTCAGCCCCTATTACATGGGACATGGGATAGTGAAAAGTCTGTGTTACATTGTGCAGTGGCATTAAGTGCCGTAATGTGCCTTCAAGGATGAAAGGCGTGATGTTATGTTATCAAAGGAGAAAAGTAAACGTTCTTATTCTAACCTTCATATTATGTAAATTATATCAATTTCCATCGCCCACAATTTCTTATTTACCTTTCACAATCCATAAACCAACCCTCACACACAAAGAAAAAGCCTCAAATAGATTTGTATTAAAATCTTCAAAGCGAATGCTTCGTACCACTGAATATCAATCCGTGTCGGCACGGGAAAGCAGTCAACATGCATAATTTATATCTAATTTTAGAAATTGGGTTAACATTCCGTCATGAACTGTTTCCATAAATAGACAAACAGAAAGGAGTACGAATGCTTTTATTTTTGAATACTGATATACTAATATAACCACACGATCACGGTGGCGGAATTTTCAAAACTCACGAGAACACTGTTTTCTGCGAACCCGCAGCCGCCGTGGTTGCAATTATCGCGCGCAAACATAGTGGTTGATTAACGCAAGACGAGTGGGCGGGCATTTAAACTATCAGTTGAGTTCCAAAAAGGACGTCCCGTTGCGATCGTCCGCCAACCGATCTCAGAGCCGCGGGCGTAAATGAGCCGTAATAATTGATTTGCTTTTTTCATACAAAACTTTATTCTACAAAGGCTACGGGTCAGTAACCGCGACGGGCGCGGGAGCAAATCGCGCCGTGCGTCCTTAGCCTTGTGGCGACACAAGTCACATGTCACATGTCAAATGACAGCCCACACATATAGATGAAAAACAAATCAACAGATGACGTCACAAGAATTCCACATCGCGCATGCAAAGTTTACATGCGAATTAATACGGATAGAAAATCTCAACGAACGACTGTTTGGAAGAAAGCCCGCCAGGCACGATCACCTCGCCTGGTCGGAGGATTCTCCTTTTTCGATCTCAGGGAACTGTACACTCTGTTCCCTAAAGCCTTATACGTATACCTAGACAGTCCTACATTACTGATGCACTTCTGTTACATATCACATAGCACGACAAGAACTGAGACCACTTAAAAAATAAATGTTTTCGACTTAGCACGACAAGAACTGAGACCACTTAAAAAATAAATGTTTTCGACTTAGCACGACAAGAACTGAGACCACTTAAAAAATAAATGTTTTCGACTTAGCACGACAAGAACTGAGACCACTTAAAAAATAAATGTTTTCGACTTAGCACGACAAGAACTGAGACCACTTAAAAAATAAATGTTTTCGACTTAGCACGACAAGAACTGAGACCACTTAAAAAATAAATGTTTTCGACTCGTACCTATACATATGAGACTATGAAATAGAAAAGACTTTCTGTCCTACTTGGATCGAGGTTCCTGCAAGCCACGGATTAAAACATCAGCTAATCAAATCACCACTCATTTTCTTCACTATTAGTTTGACCCTTTAGAAAGATATAACGACCTTATATTAAACTGTCAAACACCAAGCGGTCACCGGTGACCGCAACCTACTGTTCTATAATTGTGTCTACAAAGACGGTACTCGACGAGTTAAGGTCCTTTCTATCTGCTACTTCTTACCTGCAGGAGTGAGTGGTCTGGCCCTGGGTGTGACAGGGGGTGGTTGCTGCGCGTTGTGGTTGTCATCACGAGGGGGGCTAGCGACTGCACCCTCGGAGTTATTGTTCACTGGTGGACCTGGACCTTCGCCAGCACCAGCCTCGATTTGCAACTGGAAAAGAAAGAATGGTTCTTAATTATCTGAGAGAGTATATCCTACTACCCTATCTACTACCTACTTAATATTATAAATTCGAAAGTTTGTGATGATGATGTGTATATGTGTGACTGTGTGTGTGTGTGAATGTGTGTGTGTGTGTGTGACTGTATGTGTGTGATTTGACTTCAACTTCGCGACGGTTCTTCATATAACAAAGCTATTTACGGTCCAATTAATCCCTGTACTGTGTAAGGACGAGCCGATAAATTACAAACAATGAAAGAAACCTTAAAATAACGGCTCTAGTTGTTTCCATCTATATTTAGCTGAATGTCAGGCGAAACTCTCATTACCATGGTCACGACAGTTTCAAAGAAAATGTCGTCAAAATAATAGCTGCCGTATTTTTAAACTGTGTTATTAACGAACCAAATTTTCTGCAAGAACATATTGAGAGATTGTGACTATAATATTCTGTCATGGTCGAAAACTTGCGATTATTCATATAAGTTAATGTTATGTCTAGATCCTTGACAATTAATAATGCATTTCATGGTAATTTATATGAATAATTAAGCATGGGAGAGCTATGTTTTAACACGAATGGGCCGGCTCAACCGGAATGATACCACTGCCTCACAGAAAACCGGCGTGAAATAACGCTTGCGTCGCGTTGTGTGAGTGAGGTTACCGGAGGCCCAATAACCCCCTCTTCCCCAATCTCTCCAATCCTTGAATACCGATAACGCACTTGTAACGGCTCTGTGTTCCGGGTGTATATTGCTTACCATCAGGTGATCCGCACGCTCGTTTCCCGGCTTATCCCATAAAAAAATATCAGTTCGTTTCCGTTCATTCATCAACAAAAACCTCTCCAATAAGTCGAGAGCTCGATCTTCAGCTCAGAACACGATTTTCGTCACTCCGCTTAACTGGAGGGAGGGCGCCGTACACTACACCTACCTCGTCCAGAACAGGAAAATATGAAGGTTCCTACATCGTGAATTGGTTTCAACTCCAAGAAAATTAATAGAGGTCTCGTAACCAAAACTTTTAACATAAATTATACTTTGTTTAACTTCTATTAAAAACTCTAAAGAGGTTTGAAACATCTATGGTCGTAATTATACGGCCTTCCATTTGGTATTCGAGTATTTTTCTTTGGTATAAGTTAATTACTTTCAGGTTTAATTATAAATATACTTAATTAAACTTCAATGGTTTCAAAGAGTTAGTTGAAACGCTTTTAATTATTCGCCCTTGTAATTTTCCGTGTAAAACAAGGGTTAAAATGTTTGTGACGGTTTATGTAATAATTTTCTAACGAAATCAAGTCCTAGTACCTTTTTTGTTACGAAAAAATATTATAAATAGAGCTCTAGGTAAAGGTTGTATGAATTTGTTATTAAAATACTGTCGATTGAAATTTTAATTAAACGAGAATGAGATTCTATTTTATAAACCGTGGCGAGTATATTTTAGATCGTATATTAGACGTCAAAGTCAAAGTCAAAGTCAAAGCATTTATTTCAATTAAACCATAGTTTGGTACTTTTGAAACGTCAACAAATACAAAATAAATAATAGTCTGTCAGTCAGTCCGTCAGATGCTGTTAGAAGTCTGGAAATGAGAAATAACGTTCTACGTTTTATCAAGCTTTTTCTGACATAGTTAAATGTAAAGTAGCGAGTAGGTAGATGTAATATTAAAATAAACAGTACACACCTCTGCGAATCTTCGCAATAAACAACCAACTTATTTTGTCATCAATCTATCAGTAACCGTGTCACGAGTCACGTCAAAAGTCTTCATACCTAATAACGATTCCGAGAAATTCGCGTACAAATATACATCTAAAAAAGCACACGTGCTCCGAAGCTTAAATAGATCACCATACTCAAATATTATACAATTCCAATAATCTTACACACATATAGGTCAAACAAATAGGACTGCCTCGTTGGCCGAGTGGTCGCAAGTGCGACTGCCTGGCATGGGGTCTCCGGTTCGGTTCCCGGGTCGGGCAAAATATTACTGAGTTTGTAAAAACCTCAGTAGTAGCACGGAGTCTGCAAATGTGCCTGGTATATGGCAATAGGCTCACCCCCTATTACAAGGGACTCATAACATAAATAGTGAAAAGTGGGTGTTACATAGTACAGTGGCCATAAGTGCCGCAATATGCACCTCTGCTCTACCCCTTCGGGGATAAAAGGCGTGATGTTATGTTATAAATCAAACTGATACCCTCATTTTTTAAATCCATTAAAAATAACAAAACGATTTGTTATAAGGCAATACAGTACAAAATCCTCTAGAATTTTTAGATATTTAACCTCCATGGTTGAAATTACATTCCCTGTCATATTTCCGGCCGCATGCGACAACTACACAACACGCGATGTCTTTTCGCCAGGAATTATTATAGCCTTGCTTTAATTTTAAATACGATAAATAATCACTATATGAAATGTATAGCAAATGTCTTTAGTTATTACGAAGAGTTTTATTAACTCGTTGAATACCGTCATTACAGACACAATTAAATAACAATAGGTTGCGGTCACCGGTGTCCTCGCGGTGTTTGACAGTTTAAGTAGGTAGTAAATTTTTATAACAATTATTCAAAATCAAATGTGTCTACTCGATCCCTATAGTACGATTCGCATAGATGCATACGTTTGCTTGGATTGCATATCAGGATGACGAAAGATCAGAAAGCACTAAAATATACTGTTTCACGAGAAGAAAATTGGAAAATTTTAAGTAATTCCATAGAGTTTGATACAAGATCCCACAAGTTTAATTTCATTATGTTTCTGAGTCTCACAAAGTATTAATTAACCATTTGTCAGGCTGAGTCCTGGACCGTTGGACCCAGTATAAAACTCAGGACTGGGCCTTAATTATAACAATCACTAATTTTTTATTTATTAAATGGTGAATCAACAGCTAAATTACACAAATTTAGCTGAAAAATAGTAACATTGTGCCACTTACAGATTCACACGAATACTGACTTAATAGGTAACAGCTAAGACAAAATTAAAATTATAGATATATTAAAAACAATAGGCACACAGCAAGAAAATAATTTAAAGACAAAACTTTTTTTTAAGAGGGGAAAAATCATCGAATGCCTTCTCCTGCCTGGGTGAGGCGGGAGGGAGTGTCAGACTCTTACTGACTAAAAACCACCCCGTTCCTTCTCCTGCACGTCGAGCCGGAACCCCAGTGACCCGTTAGGTTCTCCGCGGCAAAGACAACACTTGCCTTCCTCTTTAATGAAACACGTTCCAATCAAACTAAAGCTAGGATAGTGTACTCAACAGACGATAAAATAACTGCTCTCTAGACTCTAAACAACCGCTTAAAAGAATCACATTCACATTTACAACTAACTCACATCGACCTGACATACATATTAAAATCAATTACCCAGCACAATACCAACTACACAGGATTTGGAGCAGGCCATCAATCCATTAGATCCGTCTATAGGTGCCTCGCAATATAACAATGTTATAGAATCGAACCTCCATCTCAAGAGCCAATAATGACCCTACCCTAATCGATTTGCAGCACCCCGGGACGTAATCCTATTTCCCCGGGATAGATAGTTACATCAATTTGAATTAATACTCTCGTGTGAGAGGTTATTATAGGATGCGTATTAATTAGTGATGTCCGCTCCTTAATCGTTGTTTGGAGAGAAGATATTTGGGTTTCAATTTGATGAAAGAGGATTTTACTGAAAAGAAGTAACTTCTCAGTAAAACTATTGCGGGTGTCTATGAATGAAGTTAATAATCTGCCACTAGATGATTCATCTGCCCATTTGCATCCTATCCGATACAACTATGTATTATTAGAAACCAGGTGATAACTTATGATTTAAGAATAAAAATACAACGGCAAATTTAAAGAAAAATGTAAAATGTATGACTAGATAATCGTGACAAAATTATTGAACCTAACAAAGAAATATTGGTTGCCAGGACAAACGTATTTACGGTCTGACGAATGGAACACGGTTATGCACTTGACACGCCTTTTATACCGATCTAAATTTTCTTCCACCTCCATAGATCCCCAACACTATTTACTTGATCCAAATAAATATTGTTCACGAAAAATATCGTGAAAGTACATAGCTTTATCTACCTGACAAGTCCTGCACATAAAAAAGAACATTAACTACCCCCAGGTCAAACTGAAACCTTCTAAATTCTGCGATAGCAATTACAATTGCCGTATTAAAGCTCAAGCTGTCTAGAACTTAGTCCACGATAGCGATAACCTCTTGCCTTAACTCCTACAACTACAATTGAAACCCGAAAGCAGGCAAACCCATTAATAACAGTAAATGATCATGAAACTTTTACTTCAGTGCACTTCGAACGTGAACGAACGTGCATTAACGATAGTCCAGGAGTTATGTTATGTTGCACAAATTTTGGACAGAAACTGGATTATTTATGTTCAACTTCACACCATTTTAATCTCCTAAGACCACCATGTATGGGGGCCCAATAGGGCTGATGCCGATACGGAACCGCGGAAGGCTTAACGGGTTGCCGTGGCTCCGGTTCGAAGTGCAGGAGTGGGTACGGGTTGGTTGGACTACAGTAAGGGTCTGACACTCCCTCTCGCCTCACCCAGGCGGGAAAAGTCATTGGATGATTTTCCCAACTCAAAACAATAAAAAGGTTAATGGAGCCATATTATTGCCATATATCGGCCACGGTCCAGGATCAGTAAGAACATGATTTTACTGAAGACCTTTATTAAAACATAAAATATTCCAAGAATACACTTCTCTAAATCAAACCCAAAATTCACCTTGAGTCCGATTTAGAGTGAAATTCGATTCACCGTACTCTGCATTTCATATCATACTCTACCTTCGTCTTCAAGTTTTGGATCCCCCAACTATCCCTCGGACCCGATACCCAAACTACACAATACTGACGTCACCGTTTACTTGTGTATTGTGCTCACGTCAACATGT